AAATAGATATATTGAGAGGCACCACCTTACGCCAATTACGCGTCATGCGCCAGTGCTTATATTGACGCTTTTGGCACAGTCAACTGACCGTATTATCCGCAGCGTCCGGAACGACGCAGAATATTAAGGCCGATGTCAGACTTTGCGAATCGCGCGATTCGCTACTAGCGATTCGCTAGCGTCCGCGGTCGCGTTGCGGTACCAGCCAATTGAGTGATTCACTGGCCGCGACGCGACCGCAGACGCTAGCGAATCGCGCGATTCGCAAAGTCTGACATCGGCCTAAAGAGGCCTCGGCGCGCAGAGGGTGTGGTAAGACCGCCTCTCAACGTCCTTCCACCAATGGCGTTCCAAACTGACTCCGACCCTCAGTTACGCAACCATTGCTTGTAACGGAATTCAAAAGTTTCAATGACTTTCTTACCTCACTGGATAATTATTACGCGCTGAACATCAGTGTCGAGCAATTATTGACAGATAGTTTGGAAATCAATGTAATTGTTACAATTGAAGCTATACTAAGCTCAAAAATGGAGCAGTCTCAAATCTAACCTTCGCCTCTCGTTGTTTGTTTGAGATGGAAGAACAATACCGCCAATGATTTCCGATGAGGAACGCCGTATGCAATCATCAGATGATCTCCTAAAGCAATCGATGAAGTACGTTCAGGGAGAACTTTCACGAAATTTGTACTTTTCTATGGAAAGTGCTTCGCAACTTTCATTTAGTGCGGTCTGCAATATCCAATAACTAGGTGGAATCGACCCATGTAAAAGTCTGGGTTTGATGCTTCCAAGCAAGTCTGATGCCGTTTAATCGATCCTAGAGTGATCGAAATCTTGGCCGCTTGATCGAGAATCGATCTTGGATTTAAAATTCAGACCTTGTTCGTTGTGAGTGGCGCCATTTGCCACAACACCACATACAAGATCGCTTGCAATATAATAGTGCTCTCAATTAAACCATACAGTTACAGTGAGCAAAAACCGGTGCTAACTTAGTTGGGGTGGAGTCGGGGGCACGAGGCTGCGCAACGCTCTGTTCGTCTGCGCTCTCTTGGTTAGAAAAGCTGTGCCACTTCGCGGTGGCAAAGTTATACCG